TGAAATAATTTAATGGTAGAAACAAAAATTATAGAAAGGTTCCTAAACCAGCATCAAAATTGGACGATGAAAACGGCTTTTCTTCCGAAAAAAAAAACGATTATACATTATTTTTAATAAAAATACAATCCACCCCTCAACTAATCTAAATAATTGAGCAGTCAAAAGGAACAAATTTTCTAGATCTAACTTTTGAGAGAACTTTTAATTGGAATTCGGATATAGATAAACTACAGCATTCATGCTAAAAGAGATTAAATAATCTCGAAATAGTATCCAATAAAATTTAGGATGTTGATTATAAAATATTAATTGGTCTTTATAAATCACTTTGAAAATATAATCAATTATGGTTATATATGTTACGATGCTGCATGTAAAACCACTTTAAAACACTAAACAGTATTCAGTCTAAAGCTTTGAGATTAGCAGTGAGTGGTTATTAAAACTAGTCCAGTTAGTAGTGTGAAAGTTTTAACTGGAGATCCACCATAACATATAAGAGGACAACAAATATCCTTGAACTTTATGGTAAATATATCATTCCAGAAACAGTATCCTGTATTTATCCACATCTGTAATCTTGGTTTTTCTCCTATCAAAAAGACTAAAAACTCTATACACCTTGTAGGAAGAAAACAGCTCACGACTTTCGATAGGAATTATCTCAATGTATAGTTTAATACAAATGCAAAGTTTCCTTCATGGACAAGCCACCTATTAACTATTGCCTTATGAAATACAAATTCCATAATAGTCAACCATCTCATGAAAATTCTAGACCACTATCCTATTTGCAAATCTTTACCTGTCTACTACTATAATGAACATTCTTATAGCATATCGATACCTACAAACTGCAGTACACTTACAAGTGGAACCACAGCAATTTTGAAAGCCCTGAACTTCTAAGTAGAACGATGAACTGCATTCTCATAACAGATTTAATAAAAAAGAACTAGAAACATATAAATTATTAGGAAAAGAAGCAGCTTTTATTTGGGTATCTTCTCGTACAGATATCTACAGAAATGCAAAGCAGATAAAGTGGAAAATAAAAGTCGAATGAGCTAAAACCACACTGCAAAGTTGAAAACATATGCTTACACCTATCTTAAAAACCTGGTTAACATTCGCTGTACTAATACATGCAAAAATCATTGGAAACAATTAGGTACAATATTAAATTTAGTTGATAAGATATTATCGTGCTGTAAACTCATAATAAATATATTTAGGTAAATTAGAACCGATCGTTTTACTTGTGTTGGTGTCACCAACAGTTACTGTCATGGTATGAGAATTAAAAATACATTCAGCAGTAAATTTTGAAAAACACTTTTGAACTTTTGAAAAGTATTTTTTGTCGGAAACATCCGCGTAGTTCGGTAGTGATCTTTATGAAAAAAGACATTTAAAAAGTACGTGTGTGCCTGATCAAAGATGCGGCTAGTAGAACTTTCAGTAAAACAGTTGCGTGAGCAAATAGAAGAACGCGATGAAGACTGCAGCGGGTCTAAAAAGATTCTCCAAGAACGACTAAAGGATCTTCTCAATAAGAATGGAGATGACCTAGATACATTCCATTTTCAGTCAGCAGAAGAAGCTGTTTTAACAAAAATTTAAGAAACTTCTAGAAAAAACGATGAGAAATTTGAAAATGTCTCGCAAATGATTGAAGAAACGAGAAAAATGACGAGAAATTCGAAAATATTTCTAGAAGATTTGAAAAGACTTCTCAAATAATTAAAGAAGTATGTAGTCAGAACAATGAGAAATTTGAAGAAGTTTCTAGAACATTTGATAAAATACAGAAAATAGACGTAGAAGAGAATATTAAACAAGAGAAGACACCATGATAACTAATAAAATACTGCTACTACCAGTTTATGCAGTAGTTTTAGATCCCGTAGTGAAAGAAGAATTATCTAGAGACGAAACGACATATCTTATGAGATTCAGATTGCCACCATTTGATGGAAAGTCTTCTTGGTCCATATACCTTAGACAATTTGAAGCTATTGCGACAGCCAATCATTGAACAGAACAAGAAAATACTGTTTCCTTGACTGCTGCTTTACGAGGTGATGCTGCGGATATCCTAAGATCGATTCCTAAGAGTCAAGAAAAATGTTACCAGACCTAGTTTACTCGACTAGACAAACGTTACTTTGTAAACAATTACAAATGGCTCTGATTAGTGCATCGATTTTAAGCTACCCTAGACAGGCAGGAAAATTTGTGTTGGACATCGATGCCAGCAACAGTGCAATAGGAGCTGTTCTCTACCAAATGCAAGATGTACAGAATAAAATCACCGCTTACTTTAACAGTCTTGTCAAAACCAGAAAGAAACTATTGCGTTACCAGAAGAGAATTATCCTAATTCCTAATCTAATACCCCTAATATCTAGGCGTAGTGAAGGCTTGCGAGTATTTCCATAAATACTTGTATGCCAGAAAGTTTCTTCTTGGTATGGGTCACGCCGCTCTAAAATGGCTCCTACAATTTCGTAATCTAGAGGTCTAGAGATGGCAAGATGGTTAAAACGATCACAAGAATATGATTACGAGATCGAACACAAGGCTGGAAGAGTTCACTTAAATGCTGATGCTCTTTCGAGATGGTCGTGCAGTGTAAATTGTAATCGCTAACTTAAATTAAAATAACGACTTTGTTCCGTGAGACGAACCACCATTATTAATGATCAATGGTAGCGTCAACAGTTACAAGACGCCCAAACAGATGATCCATTTATAAAAGAGTATTAGATTGAATGCATCGAAATGAGAGACCTACTTGTCACGACATTGGTGCTTGCAGTCCAGAAGTCAAGTCTTACTGGAACCAATGAAATTGCCTAGTGTCAGAAGTAATACGTCAGTTGCATGACGGTGCATCAGGTGGACACTTTGGTATTACGAAGTCTCTGCAAAAGGTTCGAGAACGGTTGTATTGGGTGAACTGTAAAGATGATGTAAGAAGATTGTGTCGGAAATGTGAACTGTGTGCAACGAGTAATAGTCCAGTTGGTAAAAAGAGGGCACCCTTGAAACAGTACAATGTTGGTAGTCATATGGAAAGAGTTGTAATCGACATTGCAGGTCCACTTTCAGAGAAGAATGATGGTAGTCATGGATTATTTTACGAAATGAACTAACACTTATGCCATACCAAATCAAGAAGCTGCCGTTGTAGAGGTACTTGTAAAAGCGTTCTTCAGTCGATTGTATGTTCCCTTGGAGATCTAGTTCGACCAAGGACGAAAATTCGAGTCAACCCTTTTCCAAAACGTTTGTTAATTATTTGGTATCAATAAGACCAGAACGACATCCCTGCATCCTTAATCAGATGGAATGGTCGAGAGAATGAACCGAACGATGGGTAAACACCTGTCCAAAATTGTAGTAGAACATCAAAGAAATTGGGACCAGTACATTCACTTAATCCTAATGGCCTACCGCTCGGCCGTGAAGAAACTACAGACCAGACTTAAACCTGCCTGATGTTAGGTCGCGAAGTTCGTTTGCCCTGCGACCTAAAGTTTGGCTGCAGACCTTCCGAAGAAAATGTTGTAAGCGAAGATTATTTCGACCGCCTGAAGTTAAGAATGAACAACCTTCATGAACTTGCCCAACAACACATCCAGTTAGCCAGTGACAGAATGAAAGATCGATATTATTCTCGATGCCAGAATGAAAGCTATGAAGTAGGTGATCTTGTTTCACTTTATAATCCACAACGTCGTCGAGGCTTGTCTCCTAAACTGTAAAAACAATGAAAAGGAAATTAAAAAGAGAACAAATGACTTAATATACTGGATTAAGAACTTTCCGAAAGGTAAAGTAAAAAAATTTCCGAAATTTAACCGGTATTTAACCTCTAAAAAAAGTGTTTCTCGGATGCCGATTTCATTATAAAAAGGTCCACCAACTCAGAGAAAGCCCAAGGAATTAGAAAAAATTATTAAAAGAACACCAGAAAAAATAGATAAACTGCATGTTTGGAAAATTTGCAAGAGAGAGGGCTACATAAAGCAACAAATGGGGGATATATAATCAAGATTATAAGACGTGAAGAGATTAGTCAATTTTCATCATATAGTGGAAGAGGAAATGGAACATTAGGAAATGTAGATCTGGGTAATAAAAAATAAAGACAAGGTTTAAGTTATGTGATCACCAACACGTCATATAAGAACGAACTCGAAATTGAAAAAAAAAAAAAGAATAGAAGAACGAGACAGAACAAAAGATTGGAAAACAGTGTCAGACAGCCTGAAATATGTGCTACATTAGGAAATAGCGAAAAATTCAAGCTTGGACGCGTCGAGCGATTTGATGATTCTGACTCTATTATTCTAGATGCCGACTCTGACATGGGTGACATGGGTTTTGCTGTAAATTTTTTAAACATGTTAAATATAAAATAAAGTGTTTTAAAATCAGCAAATATTATTTACTACGAATTCGACTTGGAAATTGTTTGAATGAAGAAGTCTTCAATCCAGGTCTTTATATTCAGCCAGTTCCGTACTCTGGCTTGCTACTTATGTTGTAGAAAAGAGACAGTTCACAACAGTAGCTACTGATTATTTTTCCAATCCAATTTTTTAAGTTAAGCTATAAAATACACATGGAAAGATTTTAAATCCATAGTTCTCCTCCATTTTAACCAAGGAATAAGTATCTTATCATACATAAAACTCTATATCTGATAACTACATATTTTTAATGAATAATTTTTATTATCTAATATATACACAGTGCCAAGTTTGTATCTATGTACTTTAGTTTTATTTTTGATCGAATAATTTCACTTTGATAACACATAACTATCAGATTAGCACGTGCACTTGTGGAATTTTGACAATCAAACTACAGTACTGGAGTACTATTTAATGTTTAGATTAAGATATTATCTAGAATGGGGAATAATCTATTAGATTAATTTAATTGTAGGGTCTAAATATATAAAAACAGAGGATTCTATAAAATTGATTGTTGACAACCTAATCAAGTGTGCATAAATTCAAAATAAAATGTTGAAATCAAAAATCACTGCGATATGTATAGTGTTAATACTTTTTTTGACATTTAAAAGGGTACGTATAGTTGTTTACTTATAGTTGAACTAAAAAAGTTTTTTAATATGATATTTTTTTTGGTAAAAGTAATATCTTAAAAGGTACAATTTCATTTTCATTTCCTTTTCATTTCAAAGGTACAAAAGGTACTCATTTAAGCACCTGATATATTTATTTAAATACCGAGCATCGAAAAAGCAAGATTAAATAGGTACTATAAATTTCAACAATAATGTCTTAAAAATTTTAAAACCAGTAATGGTCTCAAATTGCTTTAAAAGTTATTTTAAGATTTAAAAAAATATTTTAAGGCCTGCGCATGTGCAAATGTAACTGTGTATTTATATAAATAACTATTTATATAATAAATATATATATAGGTATGTATGTATAAATTAATATATATATATATATATATATTATATATATATATATATATATATATACATATACATACATATATTACTCATAATTTAACTTAACTCTTAAATTTGTGGTACAACCAATATTATTCCAGGTTCATTCTAATCTTGGAACTAAAGCGTTTTTGGAAAACGATGATTTAGTGGTTACTTTGGCTAATCCTATTGGAAAAATTCGTGGACACATCCTTCAAAGTCAAAACGAAAATGATATTTATGCTTTTCAAGATGTTCCTTATGCGCAACCACCTATTGGCCAGAACCGGTTTAAAGTAAGTTGTTTTCTTCTTTTTATTAGTATTGCGAGTTCGTTAATTTTTAAATATTTTTACATATTATAATATAAACGATCGTTATAATAAGTATATAGGCATGCTGTAGAAATGATAATTTAATGGATGAGTATGAGTGAAAAGGATGAAATTAATAATGAATTTATTAAGAATAATATCAGCAATTGATGCCAAACTGAGAGAACATGTATTAAACTGATTAGGGTACATTTAATGCTAAAACAATGAATACTCAATACGAGAAATCGCTTACTGTCAGCTGCCTAACATTAATAGGAGAGGATAATCGAATATATTGTCATCCTCATTTGGGAAAGATAATGGTGATATGACATGTTTCAATAACCATTTCCTTTTCCAAAAGAACGATCATAAACTAAACGTATGTTCTACCAGTAGCAATTCTGTACAGTACAGTGCAGTACAGTACAGTACAGATTATACGATAACATATTTGCAAGAAATTGAGAGACATGGTCAGAATAATCAGCCGAGAGATCTATTTAGAAAAATACGCTACCTAACAAGAGACTTCAGAGCCAGTACTTGGGCCATTAAAGATAACACTGGAACCCTGAGAACAAACAGAGAAGACATAGCAGAGACATGGAGATCGTATTGCAGGGACCTATATAAAGATGATCAACGTCAAGAGCTTCTTAGCCAAATCTCTGACGAGGTGGAGGAAGAACCTGATATACTCGAAAATGAAGTAAGACAGGCTATCAACAAGCTCAAATATATCAAAGCACCAGGTCCAGATATGATAACAGCAGAAATGCTTAAAGCCACAGAGGAAACCGGCGTAAAGTTACTTCATCTACTCTGTAACCAAATTTGGCATTCCAAACAATGGCCTGAAGACTGGACAAAATCTACAATAACGACCATACATAAAAAAGGCAGCTTTCATAAATGCGACAATTATAGAACTATCTCTCTTATATCCCATGCCAGCAAGATAATGCTACATATAATCAATGAGAGACTGAAAACATTCCTTCAAAGAGAAATTCCACAAGAGCAAACTGGATTTACCAAAGGTATAAGGAATATAAGACAGATAATCGAGAAATCTAGGGAATTCAACATCCCACTATACATCTGTTTTATAGATTACCGTAAAGCGTTCGACAGGGTCAAGTGGAGACACTTATGGCGAATACTAAAAGAAGTAGGCGTACCACAACATCTAATTACGCTTATAACTGAACTATATGAACACACTACTGGATCAGTTAAAGTACTTGACACACTTTCGAACGAATTTCATCCAGAACGGGGTGTCAGACAAGGATGTATACTATCTCCACAATTATTCAACATATATGGGGAGTATATCATGCGAAGAGCACTTGAAGGATGGGAAAAGGGCATCTCAATAAATGGTCATAAACTAAACAACCTACGTTTCGCAGATGACACAGCCCTTCTTGCAAATAGTCAAGCAGAGCTGATAGAACTTATACGACTGATGGAAAACGAAAGTCAAATATTTGGTCTGCAATTAAACATATCAAAGACAAAGATCATGATAGTGGATAGACTATACAACAATCATCCACACATAACCACAATTGACCACTTTGGGATCATAAATCACAAAGACAGGGTCATTACAAGAAGAGATTAAACGTAGATGTGATCTAGAAAATGTTTCCAAAGCAAAAATGACTAAAATATGGAAGGACTGTCAAATTTCAAGAGCGATAAAGATGAGGTTGATCAACTGCTTAATATTCCTAATACTGACCTACGGATGTGAATCTTGGACTCCGAGACAATCGGAGAGAAGAAAGATAGACACCACTAAATTGTTCTGTTTGAGACGAATGTTACGAATTCCTTGGACCGACCGTAGAACAAATAATTCAATTTTAAGAGAGCTAAAAGTTAGCCAACAACTGTTGAAGATGGTAAAGTCCATCTTCAACAATTAAAATATTTTGGGCATGTTATGAGAGCAAACACAGAAAACATGGAAAGACTCATAATACAAGGAAAGGTAGAAGGCCGAAGATCACGAGGAAGATCCCCAACAAGACGGATAGATCAAATTACAGGAATATGCCAAAGATCTAAGCATGAATTAAAAGAAATGACCATAGACTGAGATCTCTGGAGACGGACAATACACGACATCACGTCGACCACTACACTCCCCCTGGGGGGTCAGGATTGAAGAGAGAGATTTGCAAGAACAAGTTGCAGATTTCATCGAACCTAATCCTCCAAATAGTCTCCAAATAACTATGATCTGTACCCGGTTCATTACAATATTTGGACTCCATTAGAAGCCATGGTTCACGAAAACTCTGTTTTCAACACTTTAGGATGGTGAACGGTATTTTGCAACAACTGTCTAACGTCTAACCCACATTTTTTTACAAATGACGTTAGACGTGTCAATCTGTCCATCTTAATGCATACTACATCAAGCAAACATGATATAAGTCATATCCATACTAATGGAGGCGTTTGTGAACTAAGTTCTAAACCACATTCATCAAATAATATGAAAACAGAAATTTGCAAAAATAGTCTAATACATGTTTTCATTATATGTGGCTTAGACGCTTGTTGTAAGCGTCTTTTCATTGTGTGCACCAGATGCAAAATACTAAATTGAACAAATCTTTATTTTCACTACTTATTAAAAGACGAGAAATTTATTATTACTTTTATCACAGATAATGTACCGAAAAGGTAGAATGTAGAATGTAGAAAATGGGGCGGCCAATAGAGCCTGATACACTGCGACCTTTGCAGATCTATTGTGTTCCCTCCTTATTTTAAAGCACTTCATCTAGCTTGGTCCTCTTAATGAGACTCAACAGCCTTGATAGTGGCCTTTTCATGTAGCCTGGTGCTTCCGGTTTTTCCTCTCCGAGTTCTAGAAACTGCATTCGTGCGAGACCTTCGCAATGGCACAGAACGTGTAGAGCGGTTTCCTCTTCTTCCAGACAGAAACGACAGGTGTCCTCTTCTGTCAGGCCTATGAGACTCAAGTGTCTATTGAGTCTACAGTGCCCAGTGAGCAGAGCCACTATCATTCTGACAGTCCTGCGTCTGTGCGAAAGTAAGTCTGCTGTAAATTTAGCCGAATGTTCTTTGATGAACTGTTTGGCCTGCCTCTGTCCTGGTGAGTTGTTCCACCACTCAAGAGACTTCTGTTGCACCCATTTGTGTATGGCTGCCTTTTTTGTCGTATTTGCGATTCCAAAGAAGGGTTCCGGACCAACCAGTGGCGTAGATGCGCCTTCTCGGGCCAATTCATCGGCCTTCTCGTTGCCACGATGGCCCTTATGTCCCGGCACCCAGGCAAGTGTCAACTTGTTTCGACTTCCTACCTGAGAGAGGACATCCAAACAGTTCCATACCAGCCATGAATCGACCTGTACCGAACTAAGAGCCTTTAGAGCCGCTTGACTATCCGAATAGATAACGATGGAGTCGTTATCTACATTTCGGCCGATTAGTTCCATAACGCACCTGTGTATAGCAGCTAATTCGGCTTGAAATACGGTCGCGTATGTTCCTAGACATACCCGGACTTCCGTCCTTGGTTTTATGCCATATATTCCAGCCTCCGTACCTGTATCCGTTTTGGAGCCGTCCGTATACCATATTGAGTTTGCTGTTAGCGTCGGACCAGTTTCCCAGTCCTCTCTTTTTGGTATTGTAATTTGAAAATTTTTGTTAAAACTATACCTCGTAACCATTCGGTCTACAGGCATTCCTAGAACGGGGTCTGCCTTTATGTCCTGGTATAGCCTTAAGTTATCAGCTCCCTGCATCATACTTATTGGAGCTTGGCCTTGGATCAACCGATGCACTGTTGATCTGGCTTCACTCTGTATGTATATATGTAGAGGTGGTAGGTTTAGCAGAACTTCTAGCGCGTCCGTTGGGGCTGTTCTCATGGCTCCTGTAACGCTCAAGCATGCAAGCCTTTGTGTGCTACTGAGCAATCGAATCGCCCCGGACTGTTGCGTTTTGTTCCACCACGCCACTGAACCATAAGTTATCATGGGCCTTATAACCCTTGTGTATAACCAGAGGTTCATTTTAGGATTTAACCCCCAATTCTTACCACACATTCGTCTACATGTGTTCAGGGCCATAGTGGCCTTCTGTGTGACTTTCTGAATGTGTGCATTCCATGTCAGCCTCTGGTCGAATATTACACCTAAGTACTTGGCCTGACTTGTGAATGGGATTTCTACTCCCTTGAGCGCTAGAGGTTGTAAGCCTTGCAGTGCTCTTTTCCTGGTGAAGGGAACAACAGATGTTTTTTTAGGGTTAACCTTCAGGCCTTCTTCCTCACACCAGCTGTCCACCATCCTCAGAGCGACTTGAAGTCTCTCCGAAATTATTTTGGTAAAGCGTCCTCGGACTACAATTACCAAATCGTCCGCATAACCCAGGCAGTAAAAACCCCCCCTGGCAGTGTATTAAGTAGGTCGTCCATAAGCGTAGCCCACAGTAATGGGGATAAAACTCCTCCTTGTGGGCAGCCGCTTCCTGCCTTCGCTTCAATAGTGGCTTCACCTAACGAGGACACAATGATCCTGTTTGTTAAGGTCGCCTTTGTCCACTCGCATATGAAGGCAGGAACTCCTCTCCTTTTAAGCGCGTTCGTTACAGACTCGAAGGAGACGTTATTAAACGCTCCCTCCACCTCCAGAAACGTCGCCACCGCTATCTCCTTGTCATCTAGCGACTTTGAGAGCAGTCTGTTAAGATCATCCAGCGCCAAGTCAGTTGACTTTCCTGGCTGATATGCATATTGGCGATCGCTAAGTGGATTCTCCGTCAGCACTTCGTCCCTAATATACCTGTCTATCAATCTTTCAACGTTTTTGCTAGAAAAGAGGATAGACTTATTGGTCTGTATGACTTGGGGGTCTGGTCCATTACCCTTCCAACCTTGGGGATATATGTGACTTTCACCCTTCGCCATGCGGTTGGAATATATC